TTTTTTAATAATCAATTATTATTATTAAACATCATGTCATATCAAGCTTGCTCTTCACTGAACCTGTCACTGTTGTTTCCTTGGAGCTTTTTGTAACTTTACAAGTGCCCAAATTGTTGCTGGTGGAACCCACTACTGAAGAACAGCAGTTATTCGGGGGAAAAAAACAAACATTCAAACTTGACTCATAATAAATATTGAAATGGTTTATGCACACTTTGTTCAGATTACGTCAGTTTTATATTTGTATTATTAGTTTAAGGATATAATGACATATGAAACGTTCTAAGACAGGAGTTTAAAAAAAATCTGAATATTATAGCCATTTGAAAAGTAGCAAAAAAAAACCCCATCTCCAGACCTACAGACTTTAGGAATAAATTCTAACAGGAATTCCTCAGTGGCAGCAGATCAAACCCATGCACCGTGACATTTAAACTGAAGTTCAGATTGTCACGGGGTTACCAGGCTTCCTCTGGGCCTGCAAATTCATTCACAACAGAACTGACAGAAAGAGTACAGAAAATTCATAACACTACATAAACGCTTTTTGCTGGTCCTCTTATCGATAGCTCGCCTAGCGGATAACTAATGGCTCTTATCAATAACCGCCTATCAAATTGGTCATTCAGGTGAAGCCCATGCAGCAGAGAGCGCCGCTGCATACATGGGCGCATACGTACCCAGCCAAGCCACCGAAGAGAAACTTAATAGATTTGGGCGAGGTTTTGGGCCTGGGTTTGGCCGTGTCCGCTGCGGCTGCCATGGCTGCAGTGCTGGTTTGGGTTTCTGGAGGACACCTTCGCTTCTGCCGCTCCGCTGATATACGGCTGCTACTGTGTACAGCAAGGTGACTCGCCTGGACTGCGCACGTCAAGCGGAACACGCCTGGACCAATCACATACGAGTTTTCAGTCGCGGTGCCGAGCACGTAAGTGACGTGTGAGTTCTCGTGTAATTTCCCTTAAAGAGACAGACACGTCTTTTATATTGAACGGTGAACTATTCAAAATAGACAATTCACTCAAATCTATTGCAGAAGTCTAATTTACAACAACTATTTTAAAAATCAAATTTTAATGTCAGTGTAACGTT